AAGTTTTCGTCAAAATCTGTTCTTATATTTCTTTTGTGCTGTTTTTTTACAAAACAACCTGAAAAATAAACTTTAAAATAATCGAATCCTTCCACTTAATATGAAAAATATGATGCCATGATTTTTTTTTATGGCATAATATAATAGGTATAGCATATATTCTATTTAGATAATATGACATGGCATAGAGGAGCCGCAGAGTTTAGTTCTAGACTGGCAGCTCGTTCAAAGCAGCACTGGAGCCATAAAATCCCATAAAAATTTAAAAGTAGATATAATTTATTTATTTTTACTATATTTACATTATACTAATTTCTTTTTTTCTAATCGTAGATAAAAATAAGCCTTATTATGTTTGAATTACATAATCACATATTTTATCGTTGTCTGGGTATTTACCGCTTCAGCGCTCCTTTGGATGAGCCGCCATTTATAGACAGTTACAGATTGTTGTTGACGATGATGATTATGGTTCTGCCATCAACAACAACAAAAGCGCGGGAACACACAAAACGTATCTGACAGGCGGCCATGTTTTTTTATTTTTTTTTTTCTTTGACGGCAGGCGTCAATGGCACCTCATTATTATTCCAGGGTTCTGCTGTCGATCTCATGTCATAATGACACGTCATTTATCTGTAGGTAGATACCCATTCTGAGTGAGGTTAAGAGTCAGTTCATGCACTTGAACCAAACATGTTTAAACATAAGTATTTGACTACACTTGTAATAAGTACCTTTTTGGAAAAACCAACAAACTATGCAAATTTACGTCAATGGTTCCAAATTAGAATTATGATGAAAAATTGTATTCGTTTCTTATGATACGTAAATCATGTGCGAATTATTGACACAAAGACTTTAGCCTAGCCATTATATTGATATCATCATAAATACGATAAATTAAATAATAATGTATTATAGAAAAAACTATGCTGGGTATCTTACAAGACAGGAGTGCCAGATATAGGAAGAGTACCTTAATACTGATGGATCATTTTACATAGCGTCATGGGACATATCTACATATCATGATATACCCTGTATATATAATAGGTATATATAACGGTAGTACTCCGGCAGTGCAATAGGTGGGTGATTCTCCAACAAAAAAAACAAAAAATTAATGGCGTCATTATCCTTAAGCCACAGTTAACAATTCTGCTGATTAAAATACAAAGTTTAGTTTAAAAAAATGAGCCATGTCACTGCTCTCACCCAATGCGATAAAATACAGATGCTAATAAGTTACCGCGATGCTTAACAACGCGGGAAGATAATGATTTGTTAAATAAAAGTTAAAGTTTTTTGAAGAAACACCCAGGTACACAATTATTTTTCTAACTTTATCATCATCTTTACAGCCAGCAATTGTTCAAAACTACATATATCCCTTAGGTCTTCAAAAGCGATCTGCATCCAGCTATATTACTTATACCCTTAAGTAGGAGTACTCCTAATTACAATTCTTCTCTTGCAGCCAAGAAGAGAGCTCGTGAAGCCCTTCTAATAACAAGAGAACCACCGCCTGTAGCTGCCAGTAACATATCAGTGCCCACAAGGTTATATGCAGAACCTCTATATACCACGTGACGGGACAACAAGAACTAAGCTCTAAAACTATTGTACAAAAGGTTGGTTTTACAATAGTCTATTGAATTTTATGAAAATGTAAACAGTGAGATATCGCGGAATTTGTGTCTGTTTAAACACAATTCAACAACAATTTTGGTATTTCGTAAAGTATATAAGATCTTAAAATATTAAAATTTGATTCTGACTATCGTTATTAATTTATTAGTCGATGATAAAAATATTTAATTAAAATTGTATCATTACAGATTTTTTTAAGTCAAAGTAAGGCTGCGAGAATATGTAGTTCCCACGTGTGGAACGAGACTAAGGGGTAGTTTTTAGTCAGTAAGAGTCTGACACTGATAGTCGCCTTTGTCTTCCCCAGGCGACGTTTCTTGGAGCCCCATTGGGCTTTATGAGAAATTTCCATCATAGGGTGAAAAAGAATGTAATAATATATCTATATAAGAGTCTGTTATGCTTGTGTCATATTTGTAAAGGTATAAATAACATTATTATACAAAATATTTAAGTATGAGTGAGATTACAATTAAACCTTTTTGTTGAATTATAAAAAAATTACTTTGTTGATATAATTAGGCAAAATTTAATTATATTTTCTTCTTGATTGTTTTCTTAATACATTTTCAAATAATGAATTGATGTAAATAATAATCTCCCTAGGAGTCAATACACTTGGCGTGTTTATTGCCTTTTATATGATAAGTAAGATCACATCAATATTATATTGGTAAATACAAAATACAAAATAAAATTACAGTTAATATATGAATAGTCATCACTTTAATACAAGTAAATTGTATTTTCTATTTACTTTCTGAAATAACGTATTTCATTTATGTTTTTTACAGTAAATAAGTAAACAAGATATATATTGTAAATAAATTACGACTATAATTTTATTACAATAAGTGTATAATAAATATAATAATATATTAATTTAATTTAATGTTTATAGATAGTAATTTTAAAGCTTTGTACAAAATGCGAATTGTATTTAAAATAGTTTTTTATTAAAAATTCATTTAAGTTGATATCAATAAATTACTCATAATATGTTTAAAAATCAACGTAGCAATGAACTGTGTTCCGTGTGTACCCTAAAAGGCCGGAAGGACATATTGGCTGGAGATTGTCTTATCGTCTATTGAAAGTCTTAAACCATTAAGATAACTTTAAATCTTATTACAAACATAAATTCGCGCATATACTTGATTGTCGCATCCACTGCCTCGCTGGCCGAGTGGTCGCAAGTGCGACTGCCGGGCAAGGGGTCTCGGGCTCGATTCCCGGGGCATGCAAAGTATTACTGTGTTTTAAAAAATTCTCAGTAGTAGCACGGAGTCTGGAATTGTGTGTATATGGCAATAGGCTCACTCCCTATTACATGGGACTCATAACATAAATAGTGAAAAGTGGGTGTTACAATGTACAGTAGTATACTAATGTGCGCCTCTGCCTACACCTTCGGGAATAAAAGGCGTGATGTTATGTTATATGTGTCGCATCCAGATTCTATAACAGTAACTTATCATCATCAGCCTGTATTCGTCCTCTGCTGGACATAGGCCTCTCCTATGGCACGCCACTGAGCTCGGTCTTCAGCTCTTCTGATCCAACCACTGCCAGCCACCTTGCGGATGTCGTCACTCCACCTAGCTGGAGGGCGCCCTACACTGCGTTTGCCTAGACGCGGTCTCCACTCTAGAACACGTTTACCCCAACGGTTATCGGTTCTTCGACAAATGTGACCGGCCCACTGCCACTTCAGCTTACCTACTGATCCTTTGGGCTATGTCGATAACTTTGGTTCTCTGTCGGATCACTTCGTTGCGGATTCGATCCTTCAGAGAGACTCCGAGCATAGCCCTCTCCATAGCTCGCTGCGCGACCTTAAGTTGGTGGACCAGTCGCACAGTAACTTATGGATCATACAAAATATAATTTTCCATACGAGAATAGAAATTCAATGAATGGAAATGAAGTTACGTTCATAATTAGATATACCTATTCAAAAAACCACAACAAAGCATAAGAGTAAAACCGCGGGTAATAGTTAGCGAAAGCCAATATTCATTTACAAACAAATGACTCTTGCGATACGGAACGAATAATTATGTAATGTAATGTAAAATATTAAAATGTTTGTTGCCATTTAAAAAACTATTATTGCCAAGTTGGCCTAATGTTAGTACATATATTATGCCTAAGTCAGTACAAAATAACTATGATGTATTTATTGTATATTAACTCGTCGAGTTAAAACCGGTGTTTTGTAGACACAATAATAATTATAGAACAATAGCTTGCGGTCACCGGTGACCGCTTGGTGTTTGACAGTTTAAAGTAAAATGTTCACAGGCATATTTATGAACACGATTTTGGAATTTAATAATAGGTAAATGTATGTGTACATATATGTAATGTAATTACTATATTTATTTATAATTAAATATTTACAAATATATTAACTAAGTATGGAAAATAAATAAAGAGGATAATAATGTATTAAAACTGTGTCATGATAATAATAATAGTGTAATAGTAAATTAGAAATATTTTAATAAGGTTGTAATACTTACTCACGTAATTATTCAACGAGTTTGTTCAACTGGTTTCGAACTATACTTGGGGCTCATAATAATGTGTGACTTACGGGGTTAAAGTCACACGGCTGATCTTTTTGACTTTTTGCTGACCTTTGTAAAGACTTGAAAGGAGTTTAGATACTTCGTCGAGGAGAAGTGAAAGAAGTGAATTGCAATCGTACAATTTAATTAATTTGATATTTTCATGATAATGTAAATATTTAATTTAATTTAAGCCACAATAACAAAGTGTATTCTGTCTATTATTGTGATATTAACACGAAAAGAAATTCTATGAGTATAAAAATAAGGTAGCTTTTCATAATATGTATATCAAGAATAAAACTTGTGTTGATTTTATCTTAGTTTCTATTAATAATCAAAAATATTACACATTCGGTTGATATTAAAAATAAGATGTATGTAGTTAAATAAATTATTATGAACCTGTATAAACAATATTGTAATATTGTACCTACCTAGAAAATAAATACTTCTATAAATACCTTTAAATAGATTTTTTAATATATTTTGTTATGCAGAAATAGCAGGGGAGATGAAATAATTATTTCGTTGGTATATTCGTTTAAACAATTAATAGGGACAATTTGATTTTAAAGTGCAAGTGCATATTATATCCGTAAAAAACCTTGACTAGGAGGCAAAGAATGCACATTTCCCGTTTCGTCATGAAAAGTTGATTAAATATTTTGTAAGTCGTTCCGTGGCCGCATCGTTACGCGTAAAGTACATTAACTAGTCGAACAACTTCAGTACAATACACAATTTCCGTGCGCAATATAACTAACCGACGCGAAATCGTTACCTATCAGTGTAATTTCAATTGGCATTGACGCTGGCACGATGTACGGCATTTTACTAGTAGTAGCATTACTTATAATTATCGCACTAGTTGTCGGTATACACCAAAAGAACACGAACGCAGTATGCCTCTCCAGAAGAAGATTAGAAGGAAAAACTATAATAGTCACAGGTGGAACAGCAGGAATGGGCCTTGAGATGGCCGTAGATTTCGCCAACCGTGGGGCCAGGGTCATCATAGCGTGTCCTTTTGAAGACGAGGGTAAAAATGCAAGGGACCTCATCATACAACAAACAGAAAATCAAAACATTATATTTAAATTACTGAACCTTGCATCCTTGAAGTCTGTGCGACAGTTTGCCGCAGATATCCTGAGAACTGAAGGTCGTTTGGACGTTTTAATAAACAACGCTGGAGTGGGAGCACCTAGGGACAAGTTGACTCAAGATGGACTGAACTTCATCATGCAAGTCAATTACTATGGAGCCTTTTTATTGACACTTTTACTTCTCCCTCTGCTCATAAAGACAGGAAAGCCTGGTGAACGGAGTAGGATACTATTAACAACGTCAGTATTACATAGAATTGGACAAATGGATTTTGAAAATATGAACAAGACTGACTACTGGTACAAGATACAGATCTATGGTAATAGCAAACTGTGCCTCATACCTTTTGCTTCTGAACTGTCGAAGAGATTAGAAGGCACCAATGTTGTTGTGAATAATGTGGATCCTGGAGCTGTCGGTACGAGAATATTTGATTCTGGAAGCAAAGTGCTAGGATTTTTCCTAAGAAATATTATAATAAATTTATTCAAAACTCCGTGGCAAGGAGCTCAAACAGCGTTGTATGCTGCTCTAGATAAGAAAGCTGGTGAAGTGAGTGGAGCGTACTTCCGCAACTGCGGCTTAGCTAGGGCCGTAAACAGGGCGTATTGTGAAAAAACTGCAAAAATCCTGTGGGAAGAATCTGTGAGATTAGTGCAATTAACGAACGAAGAAGTGGAACAGTGTTTTAAGTCACTATAAATCGGAGTGTGTGTACAGTATTATTACATGTGAGTCTAGGCGTGTAATGGTTGATAGACGTCGCTATCAATCTTTTGTTACGGGGCACGGCAGCAAATTAATGAGTAGATCACCTGATAGGAAGCAACCAGCGTCACCCATGGACATCCAAGGCTCCGGATATATTATAAATGCGTTGTCGGTCCTTCAGGAGTTTGGGTCTTCGCCTGTGATTACCTGAGTTGGGGACATTTGCGACTAAACTTGAGCTTGACAATGACATTCCTTAATACTCGACTAACAATATAGTGAATATAAGTAAGTTAATTAAAATGATTAAAAAGTGAAGATGTTTATGATAGTAAACAGGGATGTATTTTTGTTTTTAGGATGAAATAAATGACTAAAAGTGAACTATTGATTTTTTTAAGAGGACCCTTTCGTTAAATCTAGAAGGACGAGTAGTAAGGTTTTTATTTGATGACGGGGTGATACTCTGTTAACAAAAGCTTGGAAGTGTTGGAATCCTATCTCACTAAAACCACCCTGGTTCACACATTCACACAAATCACCATAATCACATATAGTGGGCATAGTCCTCTATAATAGACCTACTCCGGAGCTCCCAGGGTGTAACGCCCGTTAAAGGACATCCCTTTTTTTAAGGGGGGGAAAATCACCCCGTTCCTTCGAACGGCCGAGCCGGAGCCCCGGTTACCCGTTAGGTTCTCCGCGACGGATACTAATGATAAGGTCTTGATGGTTTAGTGTTCTTTAAAATCCATTAAATAGGACATCCCTAGGGAGACGTGTTACCTCAATTACCTTAAGCCTCGTTGTGCACGGCGGCACGTGACCACTGTGCCACCGTCTTCCCTGAGGCCACATTATGTTACTAGGGCAACTAGTAATCGTCAAACACGGTGTATAATTTTAAACTGTATGATTAGCACAATTACCCACGAGGTTTGGTTAGGTTCGATACCCACCCGGAATAATTCTTTGTATGTGTGTTATCAATCAATACATAGTATAAAACAAAGTCGCTTTCGCTGTATGTCCGTATGTATGCTTAGATCTTTAAAACTACGCAACGGATTTTGATGCGGTTTTTTTTAATAGATAGAGTGATTCTTAAGGAAGGTTTGTATGTATAATACATGCATATTGCACCCGTGCGAAGCCGGGGCGGGTCGCTAGTTTATAATATGTTATAGAGGGTGTGTATTATTACTGTTTATGATTTCTTGAATCATAATTCGTTATCAATTAAGGGAATATTACAACAAATACTAATTAAATAGTAAACTGCGGTCATTATCATTAGGTACATTAAACTTGTTTTATTGAATATGTAGTATTATTATAGCATCGATATCATCTAAAATAACAGGAATATCGTTATTATTAAAACATTTAACGTTATTATTAACTCATTAATATAACTTGTCACTACGTTGTCCCACTCAGTAATCAAACACTGTGGCATTCAGTTGAAAAATAAACTGTCTTCACGTACTTTCTTTCGACACTTTTCTAATTTCGAGCTTCATTTTAATATATTTTGAGCTAATTTAAGTAGAGAAATAAGTGTGATATTTGAATTTCAAGTTATGTATTTTTTAACATTTCTGACTCTCTACACCTACCTCTACCTACCTCTCGTGTGTTTCTCGTACACACGGGTGTAGGAGATAGTTGAGTGCCCATCGTGCAATTGTACACACGGGTGTACGAGAGAGTTGAGTGCCCATCGTGCAATTGTACCTACACAAGGGTGTACGAGAAACGCGCACCGATTGGATCTTTTTTCTGTGATGTATATTTTCAAGTTTCCAACCCGTTCTTTATTTGATTGAACAGAATAGTTAATTCGCTTTTCTATTAAAATATTTACCCGTGTGTACGAGAAGCGCGCGAGGTTAATATTCGGAGTCTAAGTAGAACTTATAATTTCATGACTACAGGCGATTCCAGTAGGTGATATATTTCTGGTCGAAAAAAAATAACCACTCCAACTCAGCTACACTCAGGTAAGGCCTTTATACATATAAAAGTGGGTTTCTACAATACCCGCAGGAAAAGTACTAATAACAAACGTGTTGTACTCTATATATTAATTTATGTATCGGACTTACATCTTATGCACAGGATAAACCCAATGTGACAGTACCGGCAATATACCTGCCATCACACGGAAATGTGGAATACATTTTGTACCCACTGTCATAATATATAGAAATATGAAAATAAAAATAGAATACATACAATTATTAAAGAAATAAAATTAAAATGACTAAACATCGCTTAAACTGTCAAACACCAAGCGGTCACCGGTGACCGCAACCTATTGTTCTATAATTGTGTCTGTATTGACGGTACTCGACGAGTTAATACGGTGTTAGGGATTTGAATGTTATCAAAGACTCAATATTAAGACTACAACAAGAAAAGAGGAAAACACGTGAGTGGTCGTTTTGTTTGCTCAGTTTTATATGCACAAACATTGTTTAAAGTACATCATTCGACTATGACAACATTACGTCACATTTAAAACTAACTACCATGCTGAGACATTTATTGATAACTTAAGCTATTTGTTAGTAACGATTTTGCTCCGAAAACCATTAGTAAGGAGTGGGTTAAATCACCAAATGACTGAGTATGGCAGTGAGAGGACTTACAACTAAAGAATAAGAACGTTTATTTACATGAAGGATGTTAATTACATCATCATCATAACATCACGCCTTTTATCATAAGGTGCACATTTCGGCACATAATGCCACTGTGCAATGTAACACTTACTTTTCACTATTTATGTTATGAGTCCCATGTACTTGCCATATACCGTGCACAATTCCAATCTCTGTGCTACTAATGAGAATTAAAAAAAAACTGTAACATTTTGCCCAAAGTCTCACATACATCGCCTACTGTTTTCGGCATGCAAAGTTAGATGTTAGGTACAATTAATAGGAACTAATTACAAAATTCTTACAACTAGGATAACAGATATTGTATTCTTAACATGTCTACATAAATAATATTTTAAGTGCGGGAGAGCCATGCTTCGGCACGAATGGGCCCCGGCTCGACCGGAGTGATACCACGGCCTCACAGAAAACCGACGTGAAGCAACGCTCGCGTTGTGTTTCGTCGTGTGAGTGAGGTTACCGGATGCCTAATTACCCTCCCCTTCCCCAATATCCCCAATTCCTGAATCCCCACTGATCCTCAAATTCCTAATCCTGAAAAGACCGGTAACGCCCTTGTAACGCCTCTGGTGTTCCAGGTGTCCATGGGCGACACCGATTGCTTACCATCAGGTGATCCGTCTGCTGGTTTACCGGCTTATGCCATAAAAACAAAATCCGTTCGTTAGTCTCGCTAAAACTCGGGAACTCAGCTGTACCGATTTGTCTAATTTTGGTCATGAAATGTTCGTGGAAGTCCAGGCTATGTTTAAAAGGTGAGAAAAGTTTTCTTTCGGCGGAACGTAGCTTGCCGGGTCACCTAATTATTAATATTTTTCTAATTTATTAACATAGTTAATAAACGTTTTTTTTTTTTTGAAAGCCCATTAGTACTTTTCCGCTGACAAACAGTGAAGGAAAACATCGTGAGGGTTTACTTATAATTTCTATTATAAGTTTGAAATCGCTACCCCGCATGGAGCAAGCGTGGTGATTAATTCTCACACGGGTGAGAAGAGGCTTTGCTCAGGAGTGGGCATTTATAGGTTGTTGATGATGATGATTAACATAGTTACTTATTATTATAATTTTAGTGCCTTTAATATTGCACTTAATATACTTTCTACTTTCATTGTCTAAAACTTATCTAAGGTGTTGAAACAATTGTTAGTTAGATCTGTCAAATAGATGCAGAACTTAATAACATTTAGATAAATATAACACTTTATTGTAGTCACGCTAATGCTAATTATGCACAGAATAAATATATAAAAGCATTAATTGGTCTGCTGACCTGACGATCGATTTGAATAAAATACAATTAATTAATAATGTTTAAAATGCAAAATAAAGAAATTAAGTCTTGTCCTGTATCTATTTAACATTAATTATTACTGCAATAATGAATGCTAAATGTTTTTTATTAATGCATTAAAAAGTGTAAGCACTAATGTGGAATCTCCTATTACCTTCTGTGCACATTACAGTACTTAACACTTGCACTTGTGAACAGGGTAGTCATTCATTTTTATCAACCCGATTTCGCAAAAATCTTGTTAAGTCATTAATCTAATAAAATGTTTTAACCATTTAGGGACGTATGAATCAGAACACCCTCATTAAGAGGAAACACTAACTAAATTTACATTAGGATAACGACACAAGCGTTTATTGATATAATACCCAAACTGGCTACTCTGGAATACCAAACTCAAAAACATTTATTTCAATTAAACCATAATTTGATACTGTTGAAACGTCAACAAATATAAAATAAATAATAGTCTGTCAGTCAGTCCGTCACTAAAGCTAGGTGCTTGTTCCAAAATGTAGATTCGAGTGGAGAAGAACAAGCAAGAAACTCCATACCCATTAAGAAAAACTTGAGAGAAGTCAGCAAGCGATTATGAGTTCACGAAGAACTGGAAATCTCCAATGACATACTACTGTGACTAATCGAGACACACCGCAGGACACCCTGTGGCATCCAGCAATCGACGGAGACGAGTTATTGATGGCGATATCTGCAATGATGACCCTGGAAATGACTCTTTTGGTCTCAAAGCATGACTGGTGAACAACAGATTTACTTAAAAATGCTCTTGGCTGGATAAATCGCATAATTGTTCATTTACGCAATGACTACAATTATTGCAAATCAATTCTCATTGTCTAGCAAGTGAATATTAACAAAATTACTTCCGTGATGCCCTTCATTGCTTTTACAACATAGGTAGGTACTATTATGTCGCTCGCCTGTCTAGTTTTTATAGCAACCTATAAAGCCTGGTGGTGTTCTTGGAATTGTTGCTTATTATATTGTATTCGTCCAGAAAACAAATAAAATTGTTAATATAAGATATAAATCTCATATTTCTGATACGTATTTACGATACTGAATTAAGAAAAAGAGAATTGTTGTCACAAAATAAGAGGTTAACTCTGACATTTACTTTTGTTTTATTAAAAAAACGTTGCCTCACCGTAGGATTTTCTCCTGCGTCGTGGGTGCGTTTACAAACAGACAATATCTCACTCACACATGACACCGAACCGGAACAAAAATCTGTGGATCACACACAGACTTCTTCCGTGCGGCAATCGAACCAGCGACACGTTCCGTGGCAGTCAGTTGCCCAGCCACTGCCCCAACCATGCAGTCATATTTATTATATCATTTTTTTCACTGCTATAATCTATTAATTAAAATCAAAAATAGTTTTAGTGCACTAACATTTTTCAAATACTGGAATTATTTATGATTCTTATTATATACATAAGGCATTTTACAGATAAAGTAAATATTGCAGCAAATGGCAACTAGAAACTAGCTATAAATATAGGTTTTTTTAAGGGGGAAAATCATCGAATGACTTCTTCACCCGCCTAACTGCCAGACTCTTACTTACTAAAAACCACCCCGTTCCCACTCTACTCCCTGCACTTCGAGCCAGAGCCCCGGTAACCCGTTAAGTTTTCCGCGGCTCCATATCGGCATCAGCCCTATTGGGCTCCATCCGTGGTGGTCTTTGAGGCGCGCGCGAAACGCGACGCGCCGTACGTTTGGGTCTGGTTCTGGTTGGGCGGCGAGCCACCCATACTCACCGTCCGCAGGCTAGCATGACTGCTTCGCAAAAGGAGGACACCTAACCAGTAACACCTAATACGATGATGCCACATAAAGTACTAAAAATTATTATTGTTATATCTATATAAATAATTTATGTTCGATAGTCTCGCTAAAACTCGGGAACGCCTGAACCGATTTGCGGAAAGGCAGGTTTAAAAGGTGAGAAATCAGTCGAGATAAAACAGAATTTTTGAGCGCGGTACGAAGTTTGACGGTTCAGCTAGTATAATCATATTAATTGCACACATACATAATTTATATCCAAACCATTAAGTAGAAGTTGCTGTGATTGTCAACACTTTTCTGTTTCTGTAACCGATGACTAAGTTAATTCCTAATGAGGGCTATTTTTTACCTTCCTAGATGGAGCTAGTGTGACCTTCTTGTTCGTCGTCCAATAGAGTATTAACTAGTGTCGCACCATTTGACGTTTAATATTTGACAGCTGCTGTGATTAGGATAAAAATATATCCTCTGGCTACAGTTACGCCATCTGTTGACCATAAATACTGTAGGCCCCATTACTGCAACTAGCAACCATCAGCAAGCTACAAAAGCGGGAACATTTTAAAAGTTTACAGTTGCCTTACTTAAATAAATAAATGTAGTTTGAATGCCATTTTTTATCTTCTTTTGCCTATTGATAGGTCAGTTTTCGATGTTCATTTTAATCACCTCAATTATGTAGAGATCAATGTAATTTCATCAAAATTTTTAATATAGGTCACTACCTATATTATTACCTTATTGAGAACCAAATCAGACACTTCTGATTTGGTTCTCAAAATTATCAATTTATTACAATTATAATAATAAAATTTAATTTATGTAAACTGATAAAAGTTATATAAATCTACAGACACGTGTAAAGACCAAACTTTTGAGTTTGGATATCAAAACCATTAGATATTTTGATTGTAATGTCAATATACTTAGTAAATACAAAACATTAAGGTAAACATTTAACCTATGTACTTACATACGAATGTAGGCTCAGTCTATTGTCATACTGAAGTTAAAAATAAAATATTATGCTAATGATATGTTTCGTTCACTTATTGTAATTATTACTCACGTTTGTTAATAGTGGCATCATTACGAGTTTTAATACTCATAGCGTATTCCCTAACTTTTCTCTGCGTCTTCCTATAAGCTTAACTTCGTCATTGACAAATGTCCCTTAAAAAAAAGGTATCATAAATTCAACTGCTGCCCTCTGTTCATGAACTGTTTGTACTTTTGTAATATTTATTATTATAACATATATATGTACCAAGGTTACGATTTTAGGGGTTCAATTAATAAGGTCATGGATAATATCTAATTGCGACACAATATATTTCACTACTATCGCAATATTGTAGTAATGCTTAAAAGCATTTGCATTGTTCTTACATATGCGTACAGTATTGAAATATGTATCAGAGACATTTTAGAACATACTTTTTTAAAAGAGTAACGAATGGAGTTTCTTGCTCGTTCTTCTCCATTCGAATCTACGTTTTGGAATGAGCACCTAGCTTCACCTAGCTTCACTGACGGACTGACTGACAGACTATTATTTATTTTGTATTTGTTGACGTTTCAAAAGTACCAAACTATGGTTTAATTGAAATAAATGCTTTGACTTTGACTTTGACTTTGAAGCCTCAAGACGTCAACTTCTGAATATCGGCTTTCTCTGATGACTTACTGTTTGGTCAATTTGATTTCAATGTAGCGGTGCCAGACAACCTTCCTGAGGACGTATTTTGACCTTGTAGGTGGACGTCCTTGCTGATGAACATTCTCTTCATCAAGTTTACATAATATATATAGTTTAAGGTGCCAGCTTGGATCAATATCTACCTAAACATTTCCGGGAAAAATACTTAAAAAAATGTAATAATTTAAAATTTTTAGACTAAATAAGCCAATTAAAAATGTTTACTCCATGTAAACTTGATAAAATATCAGATCGATTTAATGTAATTATTCAGGTTCATATAAGTCCACCACTCACAGATTCACAGTTTAGTTGAAGTGAAGCGAGTGTCGACACTACCGCGATGTCCGTCATACTATTTATTGTACTCATTGTTATCATCATTGCGTTGTCTGTAGCGCTCTACCAGAAGATGACAAACGCAATATGTACTTCGAGACGAAGACTAGATGGCAAAACAGTAATAGTGACTGGAGGAACAGCTGGAATGGGCCTCCACATAGCTACAGACCTGGCCCGTAGAGGAGCGAGAGTGATAGTTGCCTGTCCCTTTGAAGATGAAGGCACTAACGCTAAGAAACATATAGTGAAGGAGACTGGAAACGATGACGTGGTGTACAAACACCTCGACTTGGGATCTTTACAATCAGTGAGACAATTTGCAGCAGACATTTTGAAAACTGAAGATAGACTGGACGTTCTACTAAACAACGCTGGAGTTTTAGTCCCTGGAGACTTCCTGACGTCGGATGGAATGAACTTTATAATGCAAGTGAACTACTACGGAACATTCCTACTGACACTACTACTCATCCCTCTTCTGAAGAAAACTGGTAAGCCTGGTGAAGCGAGCAGGATCATAACAACAGCGTCAGTAACACATCGTGTTGCAAAAATAGACATTGAAAATTTGAATAAAACCAATTATTGGAAAAGATATGAGATTTATTTCAATAGTAAGCTATGTATCGTTCTATTTGCCCATGAACTATCAAAACGATTAAAGGGCTCGTACGTCATAGTTAATAATGTAGATCCAGGATTCGTTGGTACCAGGATATATGACTCTGCAAACAAAACGTTTGGATCTATTGTAACATCGGCATCAAAAATATTGTTCAAGACCCCATGGGAGGGCGCACAGACAGCTTTACATGCTGCGTTAGACAAGAAAGCTGGAAAAGTGAGTGGAGCATACTTCATGAATTGTAAAAGAATTCAAGCTGCGAAACAAGCGTGTTGTGATAAAACTGCTAACGTACTTTGGGAAGAGTCAATAAGATTAGTAAAATTAACAGAAGATGATGTGGAACAGTTTTTACAGTGATTAATTTTATCTAATCAACATCATCAACAGCTTACAAGTGGCCACTACTGACCAAAGGCCTCTTCTTATTCGGAGAAGTTTCGAGCATTAATCGTCACACTTGCTCAAGGAGGTTTGGCAATTTCAAACTTTTAATTAGAAATAACAACTCGACCTCACGATGTTTTTCATTACCGTTTGTCAGAGTCTTAATAATTTTAAAAAGTAGATACATATAACTCTGAAAAAGACACATTGTTACTTGCTGTTTGGTAGGTTTGGAATCCTGCATGCATGAAATATTTTGAATTAAAGGAAATATTTTGAGGTTTTTTATTTAATTCCTATCAAAAATCATTTGTCACCAACCGTGACATTTGGGATAAAGGGTTTATGGGTAAAAGATAGCCCTAACCTCCTAAATTCCTGAAAAAACTTGTGTCGGTCCATACGCCAAAGATCCTGTATGCCTTTGATTAAATAGCAGATCGTGGTATGCTAGGTAAAACCACAACAAACCACTGATTGACTGACTAAAACTGTTAGATTTAGGAAGTCAAATTTATATAACTTTTTTATTGTGAGTGGATTGAGTGAGTGTCCCTATACTCCCAAAGGAACAGTGTTCCCCTGAATACTATAGCCAAAGTCTCACGGGAGCGGTAAAAATTGAAATCACTTATTTTTGTGTATTAAGTTCCAGGCACAAGTAAGTTGGCCAACCTAGTAATAAAAAATCTCACTTAACAGGATAACACTTCGCATTTTTGTGACAGGTTGCATTATGATAGTTAACAAGGTCAACAATGAAATATTAAATATTATTATCAAGGGCTTCCGTGTATTATAAATATGACGTACATATTTTAATCAATAGCTAGCTATTTTGTTAACATTTTTAATAATTTGTGTCAGAAAATTACACACGCTTACAATACTTCAAAATAATAATACGTCAAAAAGATTTTGGTATCTTCAAAGACTATAGATATTAAACAAAGGAATAACTATTATACCTCTACTATTATATAGTTGAACGCCTCAAATCAATACAATATTCGAGGTTTTGAAGCGTGTATGAAAAGCCGCAACGATGACTGTCCAGATCCAAGACCACATATTCTCATGTACTATTTAGGTTACTCCGATTAGTTTCACAATAAAAGAGTTCCGATATGGCTCGAAACTATTCTTGCAAATCTAAATAGTTTACGAGAATGTAAACTACTGCTATCACACTAACATTCTATGATTTTACCTCAAACTCCTATACATTGAATCCAACATAATAATGAGCACAAGAACTCAGCAGCCTCACCTATAGCAAAGCGCAACAAGTCGTGTTGCTACCATTTGCCCAACTTTTGCGCTAGGCGTATCAATAATGAGGCAATTTTCGGTTTATCATATAGAATACAAAATACAAAATTACAGCTCCTGACAGTTCATTTTTATTAATGATAACTCATTTCTCTCCATTACTTTGAATAACAACTGTATAAACATCGCTAAGCATTTGTTTTGTAGTTTGATTTATGATAAAATTACCGAGTGAACCCATTTAAAATCGTCACCAAATATGGAATAATAATGTTGTTTAGCTTCATTGGAACACTAATTAAATTGACCGAAATGTAAAACTGTGTCGGTCCTAGAATGTTACCTTGGCATACTCCTGATCTTGTATGGAATTTTTTAGCCAACAAACAGTTATTTGCGATTTCTGACGTAATCTACTTTAAACTTATTCCTAAAATGTTTTTCATGAGGATTAAAAAAAAAAATACTATTCACAAAATAAATTCGTATAGGTATTGTACTACTAGAAGCCATTTAAAATGATTAACAAAATTATGCTTAAACTTCATAATTGAAATAATTGTTGGTTTGGCGCTCATGCAGTAACTTGCATTCATCATTCGTTTATCATATAATAAATAACAGATATGACAAAAATAACTATTATTACTACAGTAATTTACATACCTTGCTTAAAATTGGAACGTTGCAAATTTTTTAATGCGACGAAGTGATTTTTTTCTATACCTACAGGTTTTATAGACGATAATTAACCAATACTAAGTTTTTTCTTCACAACCGGCTTAAAAGTCGGCTTACGCCAAGACCTACAGTAGATATAACCATGAAAATACCGGAACACTGAACTCCGGCGCGTCCCAGGGACATGAATAACTGTCTTGGATCCCGCAACGAAATTAATTAGAAGATATTATGAGAGGCGAAGAAAACAAAACCGGTAATAAGTTT